ACTCCTATAATATTCACAAATCAGTTTATTCAAGTTTCTTTTTTGCAGACAAGAATAAAGTAGATTTGCCCATTGCACTATAAAGAAGTAAAAAAAATCGATATATAGGCCAATACCCCAATCCTATAAATCCTAAGCTTTTTAAATATGATCATTTTTTAAAAAAAAGTTTCTTGGATGCACTTGGTCTATGTGACAGTTCTCTTGGGCTGCTCTTGCCTTACTAATTTAATTCCTTATAGATAGTACAGCATTCTCCAATATGGCCAATCTATCATCACCATCATTGCAATCATCATTTATCCCCAATGTTACATTTAGCTAGTGCTTTTATACTGTAGTAAGACATAGAAATGGACTATACTTATCTAAATGTTAAATGCTAGATTTTGGATCTGCTTTTTCTCTGTGACAATGAGTAGGCAATAACATTTAACAAACAACTGTTCCCCAAAAATTTTTTATGATCAGTTGAATAAATCACAATCAGGTATAAATCATTTTTTTTAAAAAAAAGAAGTTTAAAAAACCCCTGGAAATGAATCCACATCAATATTTAGAAGTAGCCAAAGCAACAGTCAAATTATACTGACCTCTGAGATTCTAGACAGTGCAAAATGGATACAATTAAATGACAATAGTTTGGAGAATGTGTTATCTTAAATTACAAATATTGTTGGTATTCTAACAGTATTTCTTGCTATAGAACAAAATGAGATCATAGCACCAGCTAACGAATAGGGAAAGGATCATTTATCCAAAGTAGCACACAATAATTGTACAATTATGTTTCCTTCAGTTTCAGTATAGTTCATTGGCTTCAAAAGAACAAACATTTTACAGAATCAGCAAAATCTACTGAAGTATTATGATACTACAATTGGTGTCAATATAATACCATGTATTATTTAAAAATAAGTCCCACAAGGTGCAATTCAGCAGTTTTGGCATCATAGACTATCATTATTGTGAATTGTGATGCATCTTAATATATAGAATTCAAGAATGTTCTTTGTATCCATTTCAACTGCCAGTCCACTTTAATATTTTCCATTTCCTCTAGGTTGATTTAAGGCATTCACCAGTCAGGAACAATGATTTTAGGATTTAAGTTTAATGCATTCAAATTACTGAACTGTTTACTCTTCAAGGTTCCCATAACCAAAATATTTAATTGTTTGAATAAAGGCCATTGTTTGAATGACTTCAGGGGAGTTGCTAAGGTCCAAATACAGAAGAATGATTGGATGTTATAGGACCAATTAACTAGAGATCTAAGTATTTCTGGTGAAGAATGTCTAGGGATATTTTTGCGACAACTATGGACTGAATGATTGAGAATCTCCATAGACATTTAGCCATTGCAATTTTTAGTTATGTTTTTAATCATAGTATTTGTGGGGAGAATCTCATTAGAAGTGATTTGCCTGGAGAAATGTAAAAGTATTAAGGCTAAAATATCTGGGCTAGTTATTGCAGTAGCAAAAATATACAGTTATAAATCACTCCTTGCTCATTTAAAACAGATTATTTAAATTCTAAAGGCAGCCATGTTTAAAAACTAAACTTTATTCTGTGATGGTCAGGCAGAAAACATAACTAATGTAGATGCATACTTTTAAAAAATGAATTTTTCATGACCAGCCTCGGGAAAGTTACTGGAGTGAAAAACAGTAACATCAACATGTATGTTCCTCTCTTTGCTCTGGGAGGCGAAGAGATGAATCTTCTGTCATTTTAACAACATTGCAACTCTCCTATGAAAATGGCTGGCTTCAGTACAAGTGATTGGCCCAAAGTTCCCCAATAAAATTTAAAACTATGAATGAGGGCTTCCTTGGTCCTAGTTCTACCTTTAACCAATATGCTATACTGGAAGTATAATATGCTATTAATATTCATTCATAGCTCAAGTCAAGCAATTATTACAGAGAGTAATCAGGAATTTAAACAATGAATCTGATAGAACTTAACAGTAAGCATATCAATATACAGTACCTATCTAATGCTAACATTCATTTTCTTTAATGAATTCACTGTGTTTAGCTTCAAATCTTTGTACACTTGTGCAACTTACAATCTTCCAGTTTATGTAAACATTTTGGTATTTCCAGCTTACCGTGAAAGATGCAAACTCCTGTGCAGACAGAGTAAAGTACAGAATACATGAAGAACGTAATAAAAACTGGTCTCCAAATGCAAAAATGTTGTCAAATGTCTATAAGGTACTGTGCTCTAAGAATACCCTTTGCTGATTAATTTCTTACCTAAAATATATTGGATATTTAAAGCTGAAAAACTTCTAAAAGTCCCATTGCATTGCATTGTATTGCATTTTTCATACTTCCCTTTAATTCTTAAAAATGGGGATATTCCCATGTGTGCTATGAAACTTGCGTTTAAAAGATATTTCCTGACTTACAACCATTTGTTTAGCAAGTATTCAAACTTACAATGGCACTGGAAAAAGTGACTTATGACCCATTTTCACACTTACGACCATTGTAATATCCCCACGATTAAAGTTTGGGCACTTGGCAACTAGCATTTGTAATCTTCCCAGCTGGCTTCTGACAAGCTAAGTCAATGCTGGAAACCGTAAGTCGTAAATGGAGGACTATCTGTGCTAAATTCCAGATAGGCTGGTAAACAGTCTCCATCTGTGAGAACACGAGTACCATCTAAAATAATCCTAAAGCAAATTCTATTGCTGTAGGGATATGCAAAGTGTTCTATGCATGGAAGGATTCGTTTCTGGTGATCTGCCACAGGATCAAAACTAGCATATTTAAGAGAGAAGTACTTTGGGGAGAGACAGAGAGAGAGAGCAGGAAAGGGGCAATGAGGTTGCAGGCAAAGGAGGCAAGGAAAGGAAGGTACTAAAAAGTGGGTGGATCAATTGCATATGCTACATTGGAAGCCAAGCACGCTGGAAATGGTAGTGGCAAAGGGGAAGGGAGGAAAGGAAGGGGTTTTTGGTAGTGGTTTGGGCTGGTGGTGATATCATGATTTAAGCCAAGGACATCAGCAGCTAAGGGCAAGGAACAGGAAGGGCTGGGAAGGGCTGAAAAAGGCCATTTCCTAGAGGTGGGGAAGAGGGCCAAGCTAAGAAAGCTCCCCCCAATTTTGTTTCAGTTAAAATGTAGAACAACCAAAAGTGCTTTGGCTGTGTGTGTGTTCACTTCTATCAAACTGCAGCATCCCTGAATGATTCCGAAACACAAAAGACATTTTCTTTTTCATGCCCACCCCCTATCAAAATCAAATAATGGAAGTGTCTGATATTTAATGGCATTAAATGATTGCACTTCGTCTAGTAGAGCCAATCTGTAAAAATATACATGAAAAGCAAAGCAAAACCAGAAAGCCGAGTCATAAACGATCTTACAAAAATACATTTAAAAAGGACTCTTCCCGGTTTGCTTCCAAACTTCTTTTGCTCCCTTAATGGTTTCTCGTTTCACACATTTCCAGTAACCTTGGACTCCTTGTTGCTGAGGCACCTGTTTAAAAATAAAGAAACAGATACCAATCTATATTTAAGGTATAATTTTTTTAAGCCTGACTACATTGGGTGAAGTCAGCTAGCCAGATCCATCTGTCTGTTAACCATTCTGTCAACCATTCTTATTGGTCCAAACACATTTACCTGATTGCAGGACACATTACTTTTGTCCTGGTTAATCATCTATTAATGAACTTATCACAACCACAAGTATTTTTTTGTGGTTGGAAGCTGCCTGGACAAATGAATCCTTCTTTATGATTAGGGATGATCTATAAATCATGACCAGAGGGAGCAGCATAGTTCTAGAAAGGCACTTCTGCAGCTGTGCTTATGATTAGATATGACATGCAAATACAGCAGGGCCAGCCTGCCCTCCTTTGTTGGGCAGGCTGGCACTATCCATTACTTGCTTCTTCCATTTAGCCATTTATTTATTTTGTAGTAAGAGCTAAAAGTTGAATTTGCTTATTTTTGTCTTTCTTCCCCATCATCTTAGGCCTAGGGCCAAGATGGGGAACCTATGGCACGTGTGCCAGAGGGGGGTATGCAGAGCCCTCTCTGTGGGCACATGCGCCGTCACCAGCTGCTCTGGTCTTCACGGATGCCGGAGCACCTGAAAATGGCCCAAAAGACCATTTTCGGGCTAGTTTTCAGCCCCCAAACTGCCTGAGAACGGCCTAAACACAGCCTGGAAATCCGGTACTTTGGGCCATTTTCAGGCCGTTGTTTTTTGGGCCAAAAATGGTCTGAAAACGGCCTCCAAAGCAGCCCAAAAAAACAGGCATGTGTGTGCCGGCCAATTGGACTTCAGGTTTCCAGTGCTCTGACACGCGCAGACACACATGCATGCGTGTTCTGGTTTGGGCACTTGGTGCCAAAAAGGCTCGCCATCACTGGCCTAGGGCATGTATTTGGCATAAGCCATCTTTTAAAAAATGCTTTGAATACACAATTATCTACTTTCCTTTTATTATATTACTCATTACCACCATTAGAAGCTTTGGGATTAGTAGCATGAGTAAAGTATCCTTTGACCTAGGGGTGGCTCCCAGTGACCCCAAGGAAATATTTATCATCTACATCAAATATGTATCATCTACATCAGTGTTTTTCAACCTTTTTTGTGCAAAGGCACACTTTTTTCATGAAAAAAATCACGAGGCACACCACCATTAGAAAATGTTAAAAAAATTTAACTCTGTGCCTATATTGACTATATATAAGGTGTTTTTCCCACGGCACACCTTACACTATGTCACGGCACACTAGTGTGCCGCGGCACAGTGGTTGAAAAACACTGATCTACATCATCTGCCTGTCTATCCACCCATCCACCCACCGTAAGTAGCACAAGAGATTGAATTGTGGCATAACCTCAACACAGCGTATTGTATGGATATCCAGACTAGCTTATTCAAAGAGAGATGATAGATTCAACTGCATTAAGCAATTTGTATACCGGCAAGCCTCCTATTATAAACTGCTTGTTTTAATAAAATAAATTTTGTTTTATAAATGCATATTTATAAAGCTGTTAATTTTTTTAAAAAAAATTCTACTAGGTCCTATAACAGTGTTTCTCAACCTTGGCAACTTGAAGATGTCCGGACTTCAACTCCCAGAATTCCCCAGCCAGCGACAGGCAGCGAATGCTGGCTGGGGAATTCTGGGAGTTGAAGTCCGGACATCTTCAAGTTGCCAAGGTTGAGAAACACAGTCCTATAAGCTCTGTGTATGTATAAGCTCTCCTTACTTTATTAAAACAGTGAGGCAATTAGACATTTCTACTGAACATTTGAGAGAAGAATTACCCTTAATCCACGATGCATCCTATTTTTGAGGACTCCAAGGAACTCTGCATGGCTGAGGCAATTATCTCCATCTAAATCAAAGATCTTGAAGATGGTGTCCAAAACGTTATCTGAGAGTTCCTGTCCTGTAGCCACTTTCACAGCTCTCTTGAACTCCGCTAACACAAACAAAGATAGTTTCATGTTTCTATTAAAAATAATAACTAGATTTATAAATCTAAAGAATAAAGGAATCTGAGAACTTTACACTCGTATGATTAATAGTGTGATCAGAAAATGGGTGCACATGGCCATGCTTAAACAGCTATGTAGCACTATATTTATTGAAGAAAAATTACTTCTATTTTCACAGAAGTGGAACAAGTTGCTTTATGGAAAATAGCTAGCTTTTTACCTGAATCTGCTTTTTTGAACACAGAAATTTGCCCAGTAAACAAAAAAAATGAATTATAACATTTTACCTGGAATATTTTTTACTCCTATTACATTTCTGAAGGAATTGTTTTTTTTCCCCCCACGAGTACATGTATTCTAAAAGATTTATGAAATCAATCTATAATAAAAAATTTATTGAGTTTAATTTTCCTTGCCTTTGTTTTCTAAGGAGCTACACGAACTGAACTTACTCCTTACAATCATGCTTTATGACAATATATAGAAGGACGGGAAGGAAGCTAACATTTAACCAAAATGCAATGTAATTTTAAAAAATCAAATCCATATCAAATGGGGGTTTTTATGTGTTTTTAAAAAGATGTAACAATTCTGTACTAGCAATGGATTAACAACAGATGATGAGTGGGGGAGAAGCATTACTAGAAGGCAAACTAAAGATGTTGTTCATTTTTGGATTCTATTGTCTTATAATTTTTTATTTACATAAATGGCAGCAGCAAATTGATCCCATGTTTACTTGTTAAGGGTCCAGCTTTGTAGTAAGGTTTATAAATGCTATTTCACATACTATACTTCATATATGCATTCCACTTTGTCACTTTTTTAAAAAAGAGATTAAAGAAAAGAAGAAATATACTTAGTTTTTGGTAGAGAAAACCCATATACAACTAGGCACACTGTATAAATATTTGTTTTATATAGAAAAAAGTGGATTTTTGTAAGAACTCTTAAATATTTTTTTTTAGTTCCTTTTTTTTAGGAAGGGTCAAAAGATTCTAAACAGAATTTTTTGGAAAGCTTTGATTGCAAGATTTGTTTTAAAGATAATGTTATTTATTCTGCTTTCCAAATCGGATCAACAGTTTGGAAGAGCCTTGTTCAAGTTCAAGAGCTATTTTTCACTAATTAATTGAGAAAACATCCATTGGTTCAATTTTCTAAATCAACTCAAACTGCCAAACTGGACTGACAGTTTAAATTGAATGGATGATTTGGATTGAAACTGATCTGCACACCTTGGTTCTACTATTATTCTAGCATAGCAGCAAAGCACACTGTACTGTATTTGTTAAAGAAACTTTTAAATATATTTTACTACAGTTCATCTTTAAAAAAAACACCAAAAGGACGCATCTTCCAATAATTTTTTTAAAAAAACCTCCAAAACTCTTGGTGACCTCATAGACACATCCATATATTTTTCTTGGCAGCAATGCAGAAAAGGCTTTCTTTCACGAGATGTTGTTTAGCTTTTGAGCCCAGACAAAGCCAAGGTGGTGTTGCCACCAATTGAGATTCCAGTTAAAAATCAGGTAGCAATATTGACTGGGAATCATTTATTTTTCCATTTAGAAACAATTTCCACTATTTTCCTCTGTGCGTGCTAAGCGATGGTGATTTGTCATCTCGTAGCTGTTGTAATACGTAGTGAGGGGCTGACATATAATGCATTAAATTCAAAATAATTTTATAAAGCAAAATTGACATAATGGGGACATTTTCAGAATCCACACACATCTTTCCATTTCGATTTCATGAAGAACTATGAAATGGTGCACTTCTTACCCCGTTTAACAGGACGGCTGGCCACAGTAAACATTTTCAGAGCAATTGAGAAATCTTCTAAACGGTTTGTAAATTGACAGAAAGTCTTAAATTCATCCATACTGATACTCTGGAATACCAAAGCAAGTGAGATGTTTAGTCAAGATAGCAACATTCAAGTATATTCATAAGGGATTTGTCAAATCACTATAGAACTACGTATAATCAAACAAAACAACTTGATTATAATTTGTTGTGCTTTAGAAAGCTCCTCAGTTATATGATAGATGCTTAATTTAAGATGAAGAAACTTATACCAACCTCTCCTCCTTGGATTTTCTCTTTCACATTTTGCCAATAAATTTCATTGTTTTCTTCATCAGTGTAATACAGCAACCACTCTACAAAATCTTCCTTTCTCATGAAGGTTAGACCTTTGGAAAACTGATTGAATTCCAATTCTTGTACTTCTGCTTGTAAATCCTGCATAAATCTAAAATAAATAAACAAATAATATGACAGCTTAGTTAAATGCAGAAAAGGGCAACCAAAAATCAGGTGCTTGAGATCTCTATGAGAAAAAGCTAAAATGTCTGGAGGTCTTTACTATGGTAAAAATCAATTAAAGCAGACATGTTTTAAGTACTACCAGTACATATAAAATAATATATACCATATACCCTGTTTCCCCCAAAATAAAATCTCCCCAGATAATAAGCCCAATCGGGCTTTTGAGTGTATGTGCTAAAATAACCCCTCCCCCCCAAATAACCCTTCCCCTAAAATATTTAAAAGTATGCGCAGCCATCCCTGCCATTTCCTGGAAATGAAATCTGGGGAGACATGCTCCACGTGCACCTACCATCCATGCGGAACGGCCTCATGGAGGCTGCTACTGATTTGATTTTGATTTTATTAAGTTTGTATGCCGCCCTATTCCCGAGAGACTCAGGGCGGCTAACAATAAAAAGGGAGGGGATACAAAAAAAATAAAATAAAAAACAGCAATTTAAAATTCTACAACAGCCTAGCTGCAAACCGTAGCTACTGTGCCCCTTCTCTTAGTACAGCCACAAAAAGAGTGGCAATGCTAGGGCTGGCAAGAGTATGCCAGAAACGAAGACAGAACTTCTGGCCCTCTCTGGATCAGCTGAGCTGCGGGCCATGGTTAAGGGGCCTCCTGCACCTCAAAAATAGTAAGATCTCCCTGAAAATAAGGCCAAGCGCTTATTTTGGAGGTCAAAAGAAAATAAGACCCTGTCTTATTTTTGGGGAAACATGTTATATACTTTACAAAGTAAAGGAGACTTTATCTCACCCTCTTTAATCAGTCTGACTCAGGACCCTCCTATAAAACTGAACAAAAAGAAATTTGGAACTAACCAAATACTTTTGAGAAAAATAAGAGTTGTAGAATGAATTACCATAAGACATAGTGACGACTGCTAATGTGGATGGCTTTAAAAGAGAATTAGATAAAATCAGGGAAGGCAGGCCTATCAAATGCTTGGGAAACAGAGTTATCTCTGGGATGGGAGCAACATGTCAGCTTTAGGGGAAAAACAGTATGAGAAGGTGAAGTCTTCACTTCCTTCTTAAAAGCATCCTCGAAGCATTTTGCTTGCCAAAACTAAATGCTAGATTAAGATTTCCTTGGACAGATCTAGCAGAGTTATCCTTTTGTCAAGACAATTATTTTCATACCACATTTTTAGCCAAATAATACTTTACTTGTATCAACTGATAGCACTGTGTAAATAAGGAGTATCCTCTTAGGGCTACTGTCGTAGGAGAATGCAACATACAGACTGTTAGCTTCCATCTCCTAAGAGCAACAACTTTCATTAATTCCGTGTTGAACAGTAACAGAAATTATACCAAGAGGGGCAGAGTTATGTAAGCTGTTGACTAACACAAGTTGAGTAAAAGAAATTAGTAGGTTTTAAAAGATTGCAATCTTAAATACACAGCTGGAAGAAATTAATAAATGCCATGCACAACAAAAATAGTGTGCTTGAGCAAGCCTACCACTAGAGTGCCCTCTAAATTCATCTATGTCCATGAGTAACTAGGCTGAAAAAATGTTGATATCTGCAATTTTTTTGAAGTTGCCTGAATGAGACAGCAGACTTAAATATGAAAGTAGATAATGTGCACATATACTTTAATTAAAATTTGTTTAAAAAGAGACAAACTTTTAAGAGATGTAAGTAACAGAAATGAGAAATTGTTTGCTATAAAATAATCTTGTTCAAACAAGCTAATGTTACTCTTATTCAAAATTTTACTAACAAATGTATTATGAGTATCAATGAAACACAAATCAAAATTTGGATATAGAATGGCCATTTGAAAAAAAAATCATTTGCATCTATATTCATAAAGACAGAGATCTAGGCATGCATATCAATTTTTATTTCTTTTTGTATCAATTTATGAACTACATAATACACTTACAGAGTGGGAATTAATTTATTTATTCAATTTCCATAGCTACCATTTTAAACAAATAGGAATAGATAGAAGGAATAGATCAGACATCCAGCCCTTGCTTATCAATGGAGACCAAGTGGATAAGTGGCCAGTTTTAGGTTTCTGGGTGTTATCATAAAAGAGGACATGACCTGGGACACTCACATTGCAGCACTGGTCAAAAGGGCCCAGCAGAAATTGTACTACCTGAGACTTCTTAGGAAACAGCAACTGAATGAAAAACTGCTGGTGACCTACCACTGCACCATAGAGAGTATTTTATCTTACTGCATCTGTGTAAGGTTTGCCAATTGCACAGTTGCAGATAGGGGCTAATGTCATTGCCCAGAGGATCATTGGTGGCCCTCTCCCCTCTTTGGAAGAGCTTTATAGCTCCCTCTGCCTTAAGAAAGTTCAAAACATTCAAAACATTCTGGACACCCTTTTTTTGATTACCATTTGGCAGATGTACAGGATAATTACCATTACCATTTGGCAGACGGTACAGGATAATAAAAACAAGGACAAATAGGCTGAAAAACAGCTTCTATCCCAGAGCAGTAACTATACTGAATTCTATTGTATAGTGCAATATTAATGCAATATCAGTGAAATACAATAGCAGAGTTGGAAGGGACCTTGGGGGTCTTCTAGTCCAACCCCCTACCTAGGCAGGAAACCCTATACCGTTCCAGACAAATGGCTATCCAACATCTTCTTAAAGACTTCCAGTGTTGGGGCATTCACAACTTCTGGAGGCAAGCTGTTCCACTGATTAATTGTTCTAACTGTCAGGAAATTTCTCCTCAGTTCTAAGTTGCTTCTCTCCTTGATTAGTTTCTACCCATTGCTTGTTGTTCTACACGCAGGTGCCTTAGAGAATAGTTGACTCCCTCTTCTTTGTGCCAATCCCTGAGATATTGAAACACTGCTATCATGTCTCCCCTAGTCCTTCTTTCTATTAAACTAG